TGTCCAGAAAAGCACTATATAAGTGTGAGGAATTATTATTTTCTCTGGTTATCACTTGTGTGAATAAGGCCATTCGGCACCTGCAAATTAAATAACCTATGCTTCACTTTGTAGCAGTTCCTTTCTTTACCTTCAGTACACCCACCTTCAGGTTTTTAACCTATGAATTGTGATTGTCCTGTGGGTTGATGCTTTTGAAGTTTTTGGGTTGAAATTATTTTTTCTGGGTCCTATACGTGATCTGTAATAATCATAATTATTAATCTCTCATGCTGTCTTTCATTCATAAATTCAGAATGACCAACTTGCGATTCCAAACGTGTGGGTATGAAGAGAGTGCACTATATCAAGTAGGTACAGTAGCTGAGGCAGCGTGCGTAGGCTGCAAAGGAAAAAGTAAATGTTTATTCCAAGCTGACAAGAAGAGAAAAAAGGCTCACCAGTCGAAACATTGTGTTTCTTTTCCTCTCTTTTCAGCATGGAATAAACCTTTAATTGTTCCTTTGAGTACAGTGTACGATTGATTCCATAACGTTTCAAAAAAGCCAAAAGAATTGGCTTGTTTTAAAATACAACTACAAGATGAGGTAAGGCTAAGGTGTGGTCATAGAGTAAGTGCCATTTGATACATACGAAGATGTTCTTATTATTGTGGGTTCTCATGCAAGTATTCAGGGTTCTCAAGGCAAGGCTTTCTCCACTTGAAAGTATTTTACCTGACTAACCTGTGGCTTCAATTTAGCTGGAGGACACGTGATTCAGTCTTTTTAAACACACGTTTGGGCACATGCATGTAAATGCGAAAGTACAGGTGGTACCTGTATCAGTAACTCTAGGAACAAGCTCCGAAGAAAAACATCACACCCTTTTAGAGCCACATTGCAATTTAGCTTCAGAATTCTTTTGAACTTGAACTTAAACTTTATTGCCATGTGTAACCGGTACATGTACTGGTACAATGGAATTCTTACTTACAGAAAGTCTCTCGATTGTTAAAACAAGTGTAAAAACACAAAGTGCAGACAGTGCATCAAGACAATATACAAACAAACAGTAGACAATGTACAAGTAAACAAGTAAACAGTTTGAATGTAA